CATAGTCAAGGATGCCCAAAATTTGTTCAACTTGTTCACTGAAATGGTTGACTTTGTTGGAGTTACAAATGTTGTGCACTTGGTAACTGATAATGCAGCTAATTATAAAGCTACTGAGCGGTTATTATGTGACAAATTTCCTTCTATTTTTTAGTCTCCTTGTGCTGCACATTATTTGAACTTGATTTTAAGAGATATCAATAAAATGGATGTTGTGACTGGCTTGGCAACACATGCATATATGGTGATAAAGTTTTTTTATAATCATGCCTTTTTGCTTGCTTGGCTGAGAAAAAGAGAAGGTTGCACTGAAATTATTCACCTTGGGGTGACATGATTTGCTACCACTTTTATTGCATTGAAAAGTATTCATGAACATAAACATGATTTGCAAGCCTTGGTAACTAGTAAAGTATTTTTAGATTCTAGATATTCAAAAGGAGAAAAGGCAAAGGATGTGACTTCAATAGTGCTGGACAATCAATTTTGGAATGATTGTAAAATTGTGGTCCAGATTGTTTCACTACTTATTCAATTGTTGAGGATTGTTGATGCTAATGAGAGGCCTTCATTTGAGTATGTATATGATGGCATGTACAAGGCAAGAAAAACTATCAAGAATATATTAATGAATAAAAAGCCCTTGTACAAGCCTTAGACAAGGATTATCAGGAAAATATGGGATTCTCAACTTCGTCAGAAGCTTCATACAGTAGCTTATTTCCTAAATCCTGTGTTCTTTTATGATAAGCAGAGCTTCTATAAAAAGCTAGAGGTTATGGCTGGATTTCTTAATGTTTTAGATAAGACAATCACTTCTAACAAAACCAAGTTTGTGTAAGAAAGTTTGTTATATCAAGATAGAGTTGACAGTTTCGGTCGTTCCTTGGCTATTTCATGTATAAACTCATTACGACCAAGTAAATTTTAATGCTTTTTTTCGTTTAACTTTAATACTTTTTTGTTTTTATAGTTCTTATGTTTATCTTTGATGTTAAATTTTGTAGATGAATGATGGAAAGGTGATAGTGCACTAAATGTTAAAAAATTGGCAATGAGACTTCTGAGCCAAACTTCATCTTCATCTAGTTGTGAAAGAAATTGGAGTGTTTTTGAAAGAATACATTCTAAAAAAAGGAATAGGTTGGAGCATAAAAAGTTAAATGATCTTGTGTTTATTCATTACAACCTTCGTTTGAGAAATAGGTATATTATTTAATTATAGCTAAACTTTGTTTAACATGAGTTTAATTATAAGTTGTTAACTTCTAAAATTTTAATACTTTGGTTATGTGTTTTAGAGTTTATAACAAGAAAAGATCTTTTGATCCTATTGATTATGCAAGTATTGGTGACATTGAGTATTGGATCATGGAAGATGAAGATTCTCCTACCCTTAATTATGATGAGATAGAAAAAGCTATGCTTTATGATGATATAATAATTCCACAAGTTTCTATCAATCAAGATGAAGGTTTGATCGTTGGTATTTTCTAGTATTTAGTCATGTTATTTTTTTTCTTATAATATGTGTTACTTATTAATTTTAATATTTGATTTGTTACATTGTTTGATAAATGTAATAATGAAGGAAGAGGCAATAAGGTTCCGACTGAGGGTGGATGTTCAATCATGGAAGGACTTGATTTGAGATCTTTTGCCTAAGAAGATGTTGAAACTTATAGTGATGATGATTTGCGTGAAACTCATGCTTGGCTTAATCAGGATCCACCAATCTTTGACAAGTTATTAATAGATAAATATGATGTTATGCTTGTTTAAATTGTTGATGTGTTGTGTTGTACTGCCTTGTTAGTTGTTATTTTGTCATATGTTGAAGTTGAAGTTGACTACTTAATTTGATATTTTAATTATTTGATATTTTGTTTATATTATTATATAGATATATAATTTTTAAATTTAATTATTATATCACCGGTTCAACCATTGGTCCAACCGAGTTGGACCATGCGAATTGCGAACCACTGGCCTTTCCAGTTTAATGTTTAGTTCGGTTCTGAAAACATTGATATATATATATATATATAGCATTAAAATTTCTCACTTTCCACAATTTAAAATATAATAGAACTTATTCTTTTTCAAAATGTGTTGCCCCATACATAGTTGTAACTTAAGCAAATAATATAATCTATGTTATAATATCATTCATCAATCATGTATACAATCATTAAAAGTAACAAAATGATTATTGAGAAAAGATTATATGTGCAGTGGAAAATAAATTCATTAACATCATATAATTAACTTAAATTCATTAATATTATATAATTAACTTGTAGCTTATAATTTTGTTTGCTCAAACTTGAGACACATAACTACATCAATATTTTTCATAGGTATTTAAATCATAATCAACTTTTACATATAAATAATAAAATAATATATTTTTATACTTTACACAAGGGATTGCCACAAGTTTTAGCAGTACAGCCAAAACTTTTGCATCTAGAGAATATGGATCAAATTTTTAAAAATTTAGAAGTATGGCTTATTAACATTGATATACAAAAAATTTATCATTAATATATAATAAGTTTATCATTTAAAATTTAAAATTTACAAGGAATTTATCATTTATATAAAATGGTATATTATTGACAAATATAATAAATTGACCATAATGCAAAATATAACAAATACTGGGTTGTTTGTTTAGTTTGATAATATAATATGAGTTATGTCTGCAAAAACCCTACAATAATAAATATATAGAAATTTTTTTTTATATCTAACGCCTATCATTTTAATAAAAATCTTATATTCACCAATAATTTTTACTATAAATCCTACATAATCTCTCAAAATATAAAAATATTATTATTTTTTACACCTTATTTAAAATTTTAAAATTTATAAATGTAGATCCCACCATATTTTTTAATGGTAGATCTCACACACCACTTTTTTAAACCACACTACTCTAATTTTTTTAAAATAAAATTTATTAAAATCTTACAGTCACTCCATTACCCTTAGAGCCTTAATTTATACCAAGTTTAAAATATCTAAATATATAAAAAGTTTATAGTTAAGTCTGATTCTTGAGATATCTAACTTTTGAGTTTTTTTAAGCTAGTTTAATTGCCCGAAATTATTAAAAATTATTTTATTTTTTTATTTATTAAGTCGATAAATTGTGTCTTTGAATATTTTTTTTAGTCAATTTATATATTTATTTTTTAAAAAAGATACAAGATAAATATACTTAAATAATACAAATTTAAATAATAAAAAAATTTATTTTTTGGTCATTTAAATAATTTTTAGACAATATTTATATTTAAATAGAGGTATTTTAATTTAACATACATGACTTAACATTCAACTAATGATTATGTGGATGAAAATAAAATCTTAAAAATAAAAAGGATGCTTGTATTTATAACTATCTATATTAAAAATGTTTATATAGATTTTAAAAAATAGAGGAGAGATATCATTAATTAAAATAAAAATAGATAAAATATTTTTTTCATTTTTAATTATAAATTTCATATTAATAATTTATTTTTGTAGGTCTCACATGTATCTCTTTTACCATAGGGCCTACGCTATTCTTTAACTTTTTTATTATATCATATTAAAAAAATTAACAATGAAAAAGAAAAAAAAAAAAACAACGCTACATGTCAAACAATTAAAAAGTTAAAAGATATAAAAAGCTGAATGGATATTGTAAATCTACGGTACCATCAACGACATTTATAATATATTATAGATTAATATGTTTTATTTTAAAAATGTTCATGATAAATAAATCATTATATATTTATTTTAAAATAAAATATTTTATTAAATAAATTTAAATATAAAAAAATAATATTAGTTTGATGAAAATTAATTACTTTATTAAGGATGAAATTTAATTAAAAATGCCTTATATTTTTTAATAGAAGAAATATTTAATTTTTTTAAAAAATAAATAAAGTTGTTATTTTCCAATGAAAATAGTCATTAAAATTTTCATTTATCAATTCATTTATGAAAACTATAATAGACTTTTTTTTGCCAGCAAAATTATAGTATCATATAAAATAATATAATACTCCCTCAAGTTTCTTTCATAAGTCAAGACCAACTCACACAAATAAAGAAAAATTAGTTTCATCATTTGAAATTATCTAAAACCTTTGATTTTCATTTTCAACCTAATAAATACCATAAATTTTAAAGACAAATATGCTCTTTCTCCTTATTGAAAATTGAAAAAAAAGGAAATATTTGGAAAAAAAATTGATGCTACACAAATGGTTGAAAGTGACTTATAGCTAGGAGTATACAATTCTTTTGCAATTAATATGTAAGACCAAAAGAGTATATTAAAATAAGAGAAATGCTTATATACCTAACTTTTTATACTTAAGGTGCTTATTTTTAATTAAATCAAGACATATTAATATTTTATTATTTATTCTGTAATGAATTTTTATTATTAATATTATTAATATATTAAAATTTACTAGTTTTAATGTGACTAGACAAAAATATATTAATTATATAAGACTAAATATTTAAGTCTTATCCTTAAAATAATACACGCATACAAAGCAAAAGTAGTCATTGAAAAAATTCAAATTTGTGATAGCAAGCACCATCAATTTTTTTTTTAAGTGAACGTACTTGTAATGGATACACACCTTATAGACATATCATAATTAATTCAGGACACACATGGCATATTTTAGTATTGGTATTATTATTTGTCTTTTTTAAACATTTCAAAATAGCTAAAAAAAGCTTATAAAATACTAAAAAAAAAGTAAACTCAATTTTTTTATGGGAAACAAAAATATGGGACAATTAATTTTTTACGTTGAGGAATCTGGATCTTACCACTTTCAAGTAATATGAAATTCATGGAAATTTAAACATCCTGTGACACGTTCCTTTCCTTCTCTTCCAGATGCCATGTGAGCTTCTCTCGAAGGAAGCGACCTCTCACCCAACCATAACCCAGTGAGGTACGTGCCGACCCTTTCTTTCTTTCACTTGGACCCCTTTTGTTTCCGTGCACCTCCTCAAACCTCCCATTTTGTTTTTTGGGGATCTTTCTTGTTTCTTTCTTTGCCCTTTATGTTGTTACTGTCTTCGAGGGTCATCATTAGCCTAATCGCACCACCACAATGTGTTTCATCTCATGTGGGATTAAAGTAAGATCCTCTCTTTACCTCTTATACCTCATGATTTGCTAATGTTGCTTTCCGGAGAGAGATGGGTTTTTGGTTTTGGTAGGCCTTTCATCGGATTGGTCTTCTCGGTGGTTTTGTAATTTGCAGCTCAAGTGTTTGTTAATATGCCGAGCTTCTGGTGAGAAGATATATTTCATGACATTGCTCAAAATTTTTTTGGTTTGAGTTTGAGAGTTGAGACTGTTTGTTAAGTTGGGTCTTTTGATTCAGTTAATGAAATTTTACATACATCTGCTAGAAAAGTTTCTCTGCTCTGGTATTAATTTGTTTGGAGATTGAACATTGTCAGATATACTGCTTTCAATGTGATTTTGGGGTCCAAGATGAAATCTCTGAGTAGTGTAGGTCTTGGTCTGAGTGTAGTTTTTGGTTGTCTTTTGCTGGCTCTTGTAGCTGAGGTTTACTACTTGTTATGGTGGAAGAGGAGGATAACCCACAGATCAGAGATTGAGAATGACTATAGCAGCCCTGTAAAAGAGCTATTCTATATGTTTTGTTGGAAAAGGCCATCATCTTCACTGAGGCACACTCAAGAGCTTTACTCTTCTGTGAGAATCAGTGAAGCCCTTGTTCACACTGACCAACAAAGTCAAGCTCAAGCTCAAGCAAGCAAGGATTTTCTATTCAAACCCTATGGGGAGGATCAGCAGGACCTGTTTGTTCCTCCAAGGTTCTTGTTCACAATAGTGGAAGAAACAAAGGAGGATTTAGAATCTGAGGATGGGAAATCAAGAGGTAAGAGCTTGAATGATTTGCTCATAGTGGAGACTCCATATTTGACACCTATGGCTTCTCCATCTCTGTTCACTCCTCCTCTTACTCCTCTTATGAACCCTTCTTATAACAACCATCGTGGAGCATTCAACCCGCTTTTTGAATCAGCGACTGATGCAGAGTTCAATAGAATAAAGTCATCTCCTCCGCCAAAATTCAAGTTCTTGCAGGATGCGGAGGAGAAGCTGAAAAGAAAATTACAAGAAGAGGGTGGTGAGGAAAAGGGAAATGACGTGAGTGGTTCTTTCATCGCCATTGTTGTGGATAAGTGAAAGAACAAAGAAAGACAGCTTAATTATTCATATCTCTCTTTTTCTTCGAGCAGGTACTTCTTCCCTTAGCTTCTTGACATTGATTAGAAACCATTTAACATCAGAGTTCCCTTCCTTGACCTTTCTAATTAATTAGTTTGTGTTGAATTTCCCCTTTTTTGTATTGGGGTTCAATTAGTTTTATCCCTTTTGGGTTGTTTTGGGATGCAGTTAGGGTTTGATCTGCAGACCCACTATGCACTGTAACTTTATCTTCCATGTTCAAGCGTTGTGGTCCAGTACCCAACAATTTTATGCGGAGAAAAATCTGAAAGGTAGGTCTGATGAGGCAAGCAGGAAATTCGTGGGGTTATTGTTTTTCTTTTCAAAAAAATCTCCATTTTCCTGATGCATCTCTGATACTGTAATTATTTCTTTGGAGTGAAAAAAGATGGTCCTACTCCACACAACTCATGCTGTAGTCTAAGGGGCATTGCAACAACACTTTGAAAAGAGAGTTTCACTATTCCTTCTCTCCTTTTAAATGCTTATGAATGAGACATATCTGGTGCCAGCAATGTCCCATGTCTTATTTTCTTTTACAATTTACTTTTTATTGTTGCCGTCTATTAGTACAAGATGAATTGACATCCACCGTCTGTTCAAAACCAGACAATGAAGAATGAAGACTTTAACTTTGTGGTAATCCAAGGGATATATCGGGATTTTCATCAGCCTTAAAAACTAAATAATACCTCTTTAACCAACATTCATTTGTCCATTATCCTGCTCGTAGAGATGTGACTTCCAATTCCAACTACTTGATTTCTCATTTGACATCTTTTCACTCATATAGAAAAACATGAGCTACCTTGTTGAGTGTATAATCAGCAAAAAAGAATGATATTACGAGATGCCTGATGGGGATATACTGTATTACTCACCATTTCTAAATAATATAGCTTGTTATAAATTTTATATTAATATTGATGAAAGTTGCAGGGACATTGTCAAGTAATGTATAAGTTAATTGGAAGTGGATATATAATTGTGTGTGTGTGTGTGTTTAAACAGATATTCTTCCTCTCTTTCTATCAATTCAATTCTCTTACATCGTGTCTCTTACGGAAGAAAGGTCACCATTTTTTTTTTTAATCATCATTTTATCTCCACTTCTTAATCATGACCATTGATATCACTGCATTAAATGAATTTGTTTTAATCATAGATTTGATAAATGGTCAAAATTAAGAAGTAGAGGGAAAATGATGATTAAAAAAAAAAAAGGAAAAAGAGAGACTCCTCTCCTGTCTCTCAAGGACTTGGGAGCATCCATGTAGTTGAACTCACTTTGTAAAAATAGGTTTTTATTATGGTTGTATTATTTTGGAGTATCCAATGTTTGTGTGTGCGTAAATTGATATGGTTGAGGAAGGGCAGAAGTGAAGGGAGTGACAAAAATGGTAAAAAAAGAAGTGAGAAGATGTGTTTGGGGAATTAGCTAAAGAACAAGGGAGGGAGGCAGAACCCGTGAATGAATGTCTGGAGGGAATTTGGCCGAAAGGTAGGCCTCAGGTAACCCCACCACCATGTTGACGAATCATCACAGGTCAGATTGCATAATAATTAAGCAATGACTTTACTCGCAGCACATTTTTTTAGGCCCTTCCTTTCTCTGGTTCATGTATGGTTCAAGGTAAAGAGGACTCTTTCGAGATTTCTGTAATATGATTGATTGACGTTGGTTTTGAGATTTGGCTCATTCTCACTCATGATGCTGCTAATTATTCATGGTTTGTACTGTTTATAGAAGCAGTTTTAGCTTGACCTTGTGTTCCATGGATATATATGGTAAGACAAAAAGGGAAAAATTTGTATGCTTAACATTATTAATTTAAAGTGCTTGTTTTCTATTAAATTAACACTTGTAAACTTTTGATAAATTTTTTATTTCATAATAAATTCTTGTTGTTAATATTGTTAACTTAATAAAATCTATTAGTCTTTAATTTAATTTGATTAAAGCATATTGAGTATATAAGGATAAATATCTTAAGTCTTATTGATATTAAAATATCTACTATTCATGCTTATTTATTGTTGATTTGTATTCAAACTTTTACTATATCGAATATACTCAATACTAGTTTAAAATGGAGCCACTGGACAGTAGTTGGCAGTAGGTGAGCCATAATTTTGAGCAAGGCGACCTTAGAAAAAAAAATCTATAAACTCTTTTTATTATTATTATGATAAAAGAGTAAATTGGCTTCTAAATTATAGCTCCAATAGTGTCTCTAATTCTAAATTCAATTTTCATACAATATTTCTCTTTTGCTTTTGAAAACGGTACAATTTGATTTTTATAGTTAACAAAAGTTAATTCTGATTGTTAATTGATCAAAAAATAATAGAAAAGAAGCAATAAATTTTTCTTAATTCTTCTTGTTCTTTTTTGTTTTGTAATTTTATTGGGTCTCTGTCAAATTGTCTGTATTTTTGAATCATTTATTGTAATTTTTAATTATTTTCTGTAATTTTAAGGTAAACAAATAGCCAAAATTAATTTTTGTCAATATAAGAGTCAAATTGTGCCGTTTTAAAAAATGGAAGGAAAACTTTGCATGAAAAATAAATTGAGGGTCTTAGATGCTTTTGAACTTATAGTTTATTGGTTAATTTGTTTTTTTTACTCTTATTACTATGACATTTTGAGTCCCCTAAAATTTGGAAATGAATCAAAAGGTGTGCAAAATAAAAAAAGTCTAATTTAAATTTGGATGGATTATTTATTAAATCTTATGTAATTTATATAAGATGATGATATAAAATCAATTGAAAGCCACGCTATAAACAAAATAGTGTGGTGTCAATGTCCAAGGAAAATGTAAGAATGACTGTTAACACTAGTGAAACATGTTATTGTCACTTAAACCTAAAGTTTAGGTTTTTTTTTTTTTTTTGGCCAGTAAAGTTTAGGGTTTGAGTTGGTGTGAATATAGATAGCACTTCTTGAGGAGTTATTTTCGATTGGACCTCACATTGTTTAAATTTGACTTAATTAATCATACAACCATATCAAAAAATTCAATATTAACTATAAATAACTTCTACAAATTTAAACTTGTGGGGGCATCCGCCCTTCCATCTTTGGTAGTTGGCATAATGTGCTAAGGTTTAAAAACTTACAAGGATGTATCCAAAATAAAAGAGTTATTATAAAATAATGGTTTTAAATATATGAGACTCCTCTTAATTTTGAGATACTTGTACAACGCTTCTTTCATTTTTTGAAATTTAAAATTAACCCTAATTTTTTTATTACAAATTTCCTTACTATTATTTTTTATGTTACTAATAAAAATTACCATGTTATAAGTAGTTAATTTGGGTTGAACCCATTTGAATTTGGGCCTGGACTAAATTCTTTTCGGCTTATTTGTGTGGTTTGAATAAGCTTGAAGTAAATAAAGTTTTTTTATTAAAGTACACATATGTTAGTTTTATTTCAATAAATTTTTGCTTTAAACTTTTAAATATTGATAAAACATTTTTAAAAATTGACATATTAAATTTAATTTTTTTAAAATAACAATGATTGACATAAAAAATAATTATTCGAAACTAACAATGTTAGAGTTAAAAGAATAAAAATATTTTATAAAATTAAAACTTTATATAAAATTAAAAAATTAAAAATATACTTTATCTAAATTTTTTAAACTCCCAAATCTAGGATTAAGATTTTCAAAATTTATTCAAACTGAATCATCAGGCTTAGGCCGAGTTGTTGATCCTAATTTTTAAATAAAGTATGGGCTAGCCCAAGCCATAATGATACACTCTCGGGTCAGCCCATGCTCCTGGCGCTCCGCTCTCTGTCTAGCACTGCCTTGTATTTCTTTTTTTGGGATAAGAGCACTGCCTTGTTTTAAATAACTGAACCGGTATTTTCAGGTCCAAAATATAAAAGAACTTATATAGCCGCAGACATGATGTCTAGATAGAATCGGTAATTCAAGCCAAGCTCGACAGATTAGACTGAATCTGCTCGAAAAAATTTAAGGCCGGGCTTAAAATATTTTTTTTATGTTTGGATCTATTTAGGCCGACTCGAATAGGCTCGAATACCCGAATAAAAAAATTATATTTTTTAAAAATATATAAAATATAATAAATATTAATTAATTCTTTAAATTTTAGATCATTTTATATTAAAATATTATATATTCGAGTTTTAGACATCATTTAAGTATTAAAAAATATATTTTTATATTTTTTATAAAATAAAATAATTAATTTTAAAGTAAAAAAATAATTAAAAATAATTTTAAAAATTAAATTTAAATATTTGAGTTGCCTAAAATTTAAAGAAATTCGAGTTAGACTTGACTATCCAAGATTTTTAAAAAATTGGCCTGTTCGAGTTCAGGTCGAGCCCAAATCAGCCAGTCCCGTCGGAATTTCGACTCTAAATTCAGCCTAGACATGGTGGCAACGACCTGGGTTGGGGACGCTTACAAAAGTTAAAACCTTTGCCTTGCTAAGACTAAACCCCTAAAGTGGCCATCTTGTGGAGCGAGCGAGCATGGCATCCAAGCAGAAGAGGAAGAAAAGCCATAGTCTGTCTGATGTGAAAACCCTGGGCCTTCAGCTTCTGTCCTCCCGAGCTCACATCAACAACCTCCCTCTTCTTCTTTCCTTTGTTTCCCCTTCTTCCCCTCCTAAGTATGTTCTCGAATCCCTTCTCTCTCTCCAATCTTTCTTCCTTCCCCTCCTTCCCGACCTTCCTTCATCTTCATCGTCCCCACTTGACAAATCCAGCCATGACCCCCAACTTATATACCGCACTTGGATCCGTTCCAAGTTCGATGACTTCATTAATTCGCTTATTGAAGTTTTCGTATCCCCACAATCCGACGAAACACTTGAGGTCAGTGCCTGAATATCATTTTTCTCATAATGGAGAAGCTTTTTTTTTTTCTTTTTAAATTTCTGATTCTTCCCCTCATTTTTTGGGTAACGTAACAGGAGGTTCTGTTAGATGCTATAATGGAATTTGTGAAGGTGGCACATGGGGGGAAGTTTTCCTCATCTATATATCACAAGCTTTTGCATAGTATGGTAAGTTATCAATTCGCCTGTGCATAGCTTTGCGAGTCCAACATTGGTCGCATTATCTGATTGGGTAGGATGTTCATATTTTCTTAATTTCAGGTTCACTCTTCTGATGCAGTTGTTTTTCTCGTGGAATTGCTCTCATCAAAGTATTTCAGATATATGGACGTCCGGTATAATATGTTGCCATCATTTTCTTTGTGAAATATGCATTCCTTTTGGTTGGTTTATACCTTGCTATGTACTGCCGCCCTACTATATTTCAATTATTTCAATAGTATAAAAGGCTGCAACAATTTACATTACATATGTTTTGTCTGTGTTGAACAGGCTGCACCGAATTGTCAGAATCAATACGTTCATTTTTCTAATTTCAGATATTCCGTTGCATCTATTTTAATCTTTATCTATTCTGCCCATTAAATACATTACTGATGTCAATTAAAAGGTTGAGCTATTCTGCTGAATTGCAATTCTACTTGATACAGTTATTTTACATATATAAGCCTGGGAAGGTTTGCTAGGACATTGGAAGGAAAAGTTGGATCAGGTACTTTTCTTGGCCTACCTACCTTTAAGTCCTCTCGACATGTCAAGTTCTTGCACGGGTTGATGCTAATCTTCTTATCATTCTAATTATGTCAGATGTTCCCAAAGGGACAATTCTACTAGTCCTCTGGTCATCTATCTTTTTGTTGAAATTTTGAATGATATTCTTTTCCAGTTTCTGAATTTTGAGTAATTTCCGGATGACATCTTAGTTTTTTGTCCTTGTTAGATTCTAAAATTGCAAATGAAGATGGCTTTAATGAAAGTCCATTGAACCCAAGGTTAGTATAGCCTATATCGATCCTATGTTTCTGCATACTTCTATTCCTTTCCATTTCTTTCATTAATTGGTGTAGATTATCATCTAGTTTGTAGTTATTTAACGTTGTATGTATGGGATGCTCTTTTCATTACTGTAAAGCCATTTGAGTGTGATTTGTTTGATTCTATTGCCACCATTCCTTCTAGAATCTTGGAGAATTGAGCTACCTGACCATCTTGTATAAAATCGATCAAATTTCCTTGTCTACGTAAAGCATGCATGGATACATATGTTAAACTTCAAAAAATATAGAACATAACATGACATGGCATTTAGATTTTTAAAGCTCTTCATGAGAGAGATACTTCTAGAGGAAGGCGCAGTTATCATTATTTTGTATTCCAAGTATGTTATACAATTGTTGGTTCCCCAAAAAAAAAAAAACAGGATATTATCTGATTATTTTCTTGCAAAATATGTCATTTAATTTGTAACAGAACACTGTTTGGCGTGACATAGTCAATGGGTTGACGCATTGTGCAGCACCAATTGAAATTTAAAATTCCCTTTCTTTTACTGACAAAAGAATCCTTTACTAGAATGTACACTGTATTTATCCAAAATTTATTGTGTTATATTAATTTTTAGATAAATGAAAGTTCTTCATTTATCATTTAAAGAAAAAAACTGATCAAGGTGCACCAAAAAAGGGGCTGGGTAGATATTGGGGTAGCATAGTGCCTTGCTTGATTTAACACCACGCTGCTTCATCTAAGCTTGGTGGGATGTGCATGGGTTGAGCCGGGCATTAGCCTAACTTGAAATTCTTTGACAAGCATTTTTGGTCCATGGTACATTTCAGTCAAGTGCTTGCTTATTGCCTGTCCATAATGTTATATAACTTAATTATCATGATGGTGCATAAGAGAGATTCGCTAGATAAGCTTATACTTGTATTTTCGGAGCAAACAGATGATAATCTTTTAAAGTGTTGTATTAATGAATTAATACAACCATGGCTTGTATGGTCCATTAAACAGATCTTAAATCAAAAGTTGTTAATCTATAGAGGCCCAATTATTCAGGTTTAAAAAAAAAAGGGAAAAATTTTACTCACCTAATCAAGAATGGTCATCTAGTCTTTCATTCTTCTGTTTCCCCCCTTTTGGTCATTCAAGTGTGAGTCATGTTCGGCTGAAGTCCGATCCATGTTCAGCAGGTGTTTGAACATTTTTTCCTCATATGTCCAATGTGTGTTGTGGAAGTGTCATGGCTGGACATGCATGTAATGCAACATACTTGAAAATAAGGTGTGGCAATGCTTAAATATAAGCCTATCTCTAAGTAGTTGGCTACTGATTTCTTTACAAAAAGATTGTCCTGTAATAGACATGCCTTATCATGCTGGTGATAGTTAGCAATTTTTTATTTTTTTATTGCTAAAATACTGTGCCATGTTGGACAAAATGGACACAATGCTTAATTAATAGGTTTAGCTTGGAAGCTTAGCAATGTTCTGTTACAAATTAAATGACATATTTTGCTTCCTGATGTATGGATACACTTAACTAATCAGGTATTGATTTATTTCTATTGGTAATGTGGGAATCTACTTTTTCAGTTTGGAGCATGTCATCCGCAATATGTATTGTACTATATCACATGTCCCCCATCTTGAAAGCTTGGATAAACCATCTAGTATTGAGATGTGGAGTGAATCAGGTAATTACATACTATTTTTGTTATCATCACTTCTTCCCAGAAGTCATGAATCATGAGATGTAATGCTGTACTCCCATTGACTATGACCTGTGACGTGTCAGCCCTAGGGTGAGACGTGGGCCAGTTGGGTTGGCTGTTTGCATGGTGTGTTTAATGTGCCTGCCTTCCTGAAAATAGAAATAATAATAAAACTTAAATAGGCCATAAAAATAATGAAATTAAATTGCTACTTACCTGTCAGTTTCTTGTAACTTTAAATCACTTGCTTCTAAGTCCTTATAATAGCACCTTATTTATGCCATCATCGTTTATATTGCCTACATTGTGATGGTCATGGTTTCACCTTCATCATAATGTATTGTCAGTATTTTCAGAGATTCTTCACCTGATATTATTGATTCAACTGAGATGGCATTGATGAATGTTATTTCTTCAATATTATCTTAGTACAGCTGAGTTTAGTTCAGTGTATAGTTCACGCTAACTCACATACTATCATAAAGTTGCATCTACATCAACTCACTGGCATCTTTGGACATAAAATGACACTAAACACTTCCATGCATCAACCGACTTGTTTGAGATGTGTTAATTTTTGCATTTAATTCTTATTGTTTTATTCATTCTCTTGGTGTTTTTTTCTATTTAATTCTTAGGTTACTTTTTAATTTACTCTCTATCTACACGTGTGGGTTGGTGTGTTCGTTTTGGAATATGTGTAGAATGCTATTTTCTTCTTGTTAATGGAAATTAAAGTTTCTTTGTATTTTAATTAATAGGTCTTTTATCCAAAGAACATGATCATGAACAACTTTCTAAGGAGGTGGATTTAGATGATAACCAGATGAAGACTGAGAAGCATAATAGTAATGTAAATTTTTGCACGATTCTTGGTGTTGCAAAGTTCAATGCTACCTTCTAGATAGTACGATCCAACAATTAATTTTCTTATTTCGTGTTATTCACATAGGAAACTTCTGCAGACAAAGTTGCCAAAAAGATGAAATCAAAATTTACCAAAGCGTGGATTTCATATCTTAGATTGCCACTTCCACTTGATGTGTACAAGGAGGTAATCTTCATGGTTCTTGAACTTCTTCTCTTATACTTTTGAGTGGCATCTGTATTCTTGTGTCCTGAAATGTTAGAATATATGGTTATTTCATATAAAAATCAAAAGGCTTGTATATTAAGGCCTTTGTTGTTCTATGTATTTGCCATGTTATGAGAATATTACCAACTTGAAAACCCTGGCTTCAAATATTTGGTCCGTACTTTTGGGTGCTTAAGTTTGGGCCCCAGCAAAATTCAGTGAATGATAATTTCCTTTTGTTCCTGAATTATGGACGTCAGGAAATCTTAACAGTTTTTTATCATTACTCTGGGTGCCAACTTTCATTATCTCCTATTGAAGCTGTGATTCTGGTTATCACCTTCTTTATCTTTATCTCCTATTAATGCGATAAGCTGTCGCCATGTTTTATTTATTTTGTGAGCAACATGGTTTTCTTATTACTAGGTTCTCGTTAACCTTCATCAAGCAGTTATTCCTCACTTGACAAAACCTATTATGTTATGGTAAGTGTTTGTGATACATAAAGTATAATTTTTATTTTTCTTCATTGAATAAATTTAATTTTGGGAAAAATTAATTAATTCATCCTTACAGTGTTACCCTATATTTTCAAAACCTACAACTCAATCTCTCTAGTTTTATGAAATCTCGGACTCAGTCCATGATTCATCTAACCCAGATCTGACCTGGAACCTATCAGCAGTCCAGCACCATGTGGGATTAAAAAGCCCCATCACTAATGCCATGTCACCCTCCTAGCCAACCCATACTTGAACCCAAACCTGACTCTGCTTCAATATTCCTTCTACATGACCTCTGATTGATCTCTCTTCTTTTTCAACACAGTTGATTTTTGTTACACAATCGATTTCTTCTTTGACAGAGATGCATAGAAATGCGATCTTGCAATAGAAGAAATCGATCAAAGGTCTTGTAGAAGGAAGATTGAAGCAGAGCCAGGTTTGGGGTCAAAATATGATTTGGATATGGGGATAACATGGGAGCAATGATGAGGCTTTTAGATCCCTCATGGTGCTGATATGGTTCCAAGTTAGTTCTTAGTTGGACGAGTTAGGAACCTGGTTTGCGATTTCATAAACTAGGGGAACTGAGTTGACAACTCACTGAAACTATAAGGATAAGTTTATTAATTTTCCCTTTAATTTTTTTATGTTTGTTGATGTTGACTTGTTAATGTTAATTTATTTATATGCAGTGATTTCTTAACAAGATCATATGATGTTGGGGGTATTGTTAGCGTCATGGCTCTTAGCAGCCTTCATGTCCTGGTGACCCAGCATGGCTTGGAATACCCAGATTTCTATGAGAAACTCTATGCTCTTTTAGTTCCAGCTATCTTTATGGCTAAACATCGAGCTAAGTTTTTTCAGGTGAAGCTCAGTTAACTGTTTATCAATATACTATAATTAACAGGTTGAGAGGAAAAATTTGGATATTCACAGCATAAATCATGCTCCCACCCTGCCCTGCCCCCAAAATGATGCACAAATTATGTTTTCATTGGATGAGAAGACATGATGCATCATTAGATATTTAGACCTAGTAGGCGTGCTCGAGAAATTTTGTCTGGTGTAGACCTTTGAGCAACATATATTTTTCTATTGGATAAACATAATTTTTGGTCCTTATACTTACTTGCATTTTGGCTTTGGTCCCTATATTTTTTTTTTCGGTGTTTTAGGTCGGTACATTTTTGTTTTTCATTGTTTTGGGTCATTCCAAGGTCCCTATACTTTGCTCATAGAGGGATCAAAAATGATGGAAAACAAAAGTATAGGGACCTAAAAAAAAAAAATATAGAGACTGAAAGCAAAACGAGAGTAAAGTACAGGGACTAAAAGTTATATTTATCCTTTTCTATTTTACTGTAGGTTTTGGACATGTTTGAATAACAAGTAATCTTTTAATGTGAACTAAATGGTGAAATGGCGCAACAGAAAATTGACTGAAAACAGAAAAGATGCATCAAAACAGTGTTGCCCTCTAGGTGCATGTCTCACAAGTGTTTCAAAGGTAGCCATTAAATGAGCATGGTGAGGTCATCATACAGAACACTTTGCCAAACCTGAGAGGCTGAGACAGGCAAAACTTGTCCTTGAATATCTCACATGGGAAAAATTAAAATATTTGAACACATTTGATTAAGTTTTGAAGTTTATGTTAATCTTTTACATTTGCTAATTGCCAATTTTTGATCGCTTATAATTTGGCATCTGCAGCTTCTTGATGCTTGCCTTAAGTCAGAATTACTTCCAGCTTATTTGGCTGCTTCCTTTGCGAAGAAATTGAGTAGGTTGTTGCTTTTAGTTTCTCCTTCAGGAGCATTGGTTATCATTGCCTTGATTCATAATCTCTTGCGGAGACATCCTTCAATCAACTGCTTGGTTCATCGGGTGAAACATAGTACCCTTGTTTTTTTAATTCATTTTCTTACATTTATTATATTTTCCTGGATTTTGTGCTTGCGTTGCTGAAACTGCCATTGAGGATAACAAGAATTCATTGTCCGTTGGCTGCATAAAGACGCAATTTTGTTATGTGACCAAGAATATAGTTCAATTAAGTGACAGTCATAACAACTTCAATTTCTTCATGTAACTTTCGGGGCAATTTGCATTGCCCTTTGATCTTCTATTGCTGTGGTATCTTGTTTGTGTATCAAATTCTGAAAGCGTGCTCCTCTTGGCTAAACATTTGATGTATCTGTTAGTAAAATAACTGCCTTCTGTCTGTACTGATTGGACGATAATTTCTTCTATGAGCAGGAGGATGGTGATGAGGAAGGGAAAGATGAATCTAAGACTGGTGTTATGCCCTACCAGAAGAAATCAGGCATTGACGACTTCAACGATGGGGAAACTAATCCCAAGAATACTAGGGCAATGAGTAAGCATCTTTTCTAGTTTAACTTATTCTTCTACCTGACTTTGGTATATTGAATTCCCTAAAGTTTAGAGAATTGCATGGCTGGTATAACTGAATAAAACAACTGTGGTACATACATGTTGCATATTTCAGCTAGTTCTTGCAGGCTGTGAATTATTTTCTTACACCATTGGATTGATACATCTGTCATATTTTGCCAGCTCCTCCTGGACTCTTGTTAGACTGCTCGCTTCTTGTGTTGACGCTACATCATATTATCAATACATGCAATTACTGCACTTGAACTTCACTGCTTAATTCTTGTTTTCGAGAAAATTATCTGAAGTGTTTTGAGATCAAGATTAAAACTTGTAGTTGGCAGTTTCTTTGTCTCATTCATTATCTCATATGTTATCACTTGTTTGATCAAGATAACTGTGTAGGCTAGTTTGAAGAACTTTAGATTGTGCAGAAAGATTCTATCAGCCATAGGTATTAATATTTGGAACCATTTAAGCAGTGAAACTAGTGCATTGGCAAGTGTGAATATATCAATTTTTAGTACTTACTGAAATATATATTCTCTGCCTATTTTTTTCAAATGTGGTTGTCTATCAAATATACTCCCTCCAGTCGAAAATATAAGTATTTTCTTCTAGCTAATTTTAGTTCAAAATATAAGCAGCTTAATATGTGTTTGTTCTTTTTTCCATTTTACTCTTTGTATTTATTAACTTAGATTCTTGTGTCTGTGGTTTTATGACTTTTTTCTCACCCATTATAAATTGGAACTTAGTGTAAAGAGGAAAAACAACATGCATTTTCGTGGGAGTAAGGATTTTATTGGTGCGCAAATCATTGTTAAAAGCTACTTATTTTTTGGACTGGAGGAAGTATTTATGGAGTGGAATTACTGTATTGGCTCTAAAATTTTTCAAGTGTAGCTGTCTTTCAAATATAAATGGGAAGTGGAATTACTCTATTAGCCCTAAAATTTTCAGCTAATGAGATGTCTTGTTTCAGGGAGTTCTCTTTGGGAGACAGATACCATTCTTCAACACCACTGCCCTCCTGTTTCAAGGCAAGTGTGTTGATGCTTGACTACTGTCCTCTTGTTTTTACTTTCCATGTTTGCCACCGTGTTTTGACAGTTGGAGAAACTACCCTGAATCTCACATCCCTTTGTTTTGCTATTAGGTTTTCTTTGTCTCTTGGGACTGATTTGACGGTGAGGAATAAAACAAGTGAAATGAAGGTTGAGGATTTCAGTTCAGGTTCATATGCCACAGTATTTGGAGACGAGGTGATATATGAATGTTTTTCTCTTTGTTTGTTTATATTGTTTTCACAAACTGAAGAAGCACTTATACAATTAACTTGCAGTTAAGGCGGAGGGTAAAGCAGGTTCCACTAGCATTCTACAAGGAAACTCCCTGTGTGTTTTCAGAGGCTGATTTTGCTTGCTGGACTTTCAAATTGGAAGCAGAAGATGATTGTTACAGCCCTGCTAAACGGCAACGAAAAGATTGTCCGTGAGACATGTGCATCACCCACAAAATCTGCAAAATAATTGGGGTCCTAAGATTAAAGGTGGAAAAGTTGACAGTTAAATCGCATGCAGAATTTTGTAGTCTAATCTGCACATTTGACAGAATTTCTATGAAAAGAAAAAGGAAAGACTGATATCCCAGTTTCTAGCAATGATTATTCTAGTTTCTTCAGCAAATACACAGCATTATGGATGATCCAATATTGCAGGGGAGTATAATTTTCAAAGGTCAAATGATACATATTCTTTTATTTGGTGAAGACGATCATGGAAACGTGTCAAATTATTGACTTTATGGTGGTATATTGTTGAGTCTGATATTAGGAAGCTTTACAAGGGTAGTGGGGTTTATAAGTGAGGGGCTCTCATATAACAATTTAGTCTTTTGAAATGGTTTTTTTTTTTTAAAAAAACTTGTACTCAATATTGATGTTTTCATTAAGAGGTGGATGTTATGGAGAGGAATGCATGTGGCCTAGTTTTGTTTCTCACCAACAATCTCTACACTCATTTTTGCAAATCCTTATGTATTTTATTATTCTTAATGTTGTGCATGGGCCCCTAGACATTATGTAAAGTCCCATTCTAGGGTTACAAAGTTAATCTTGTGTCTCCTGAAAAGAATTCATGAATGTAACTGACTTGAATGGAGTTACAACCTCTGGCACCTTCGGGATTTTGTAGCCTAATTCCATCTTCCTCATGAAACTTGGATATTTGAAAGAGCATTTTGTAAGATCTAGACTCAAACTACACTTGCTCGACAGTTTAGTAACATGATCTCTAATCTTGCCAATGAAATTATATATAATTGATTGCTAATTTATCTCCAAGCTTCATTTGGTGATCATCTGATGCTCTTCATCGCAGTTTTTATTTTTATTTTTATGCATGCTTTCTTATTTAAAAAAACAAAGAGACAATAACTTCAAATTTTATATTTTCTGTATTCTCCAATGAGTCCTTTACGTTTTCTTCTTGTCAGAAAAGATTTGGTGTGCCATTTTTCTTGTTTCCATACTTGCAATTAAGATTAGGTATGAACTTCAGTATGGATTCAAGAAAACAAGTAAATTTGGTTGCGAATGTATCCCTTTGGAGATTCTATACATGTAATACATGATTAGAAATTTAAATAAAAATAATAATAATGCAAGTTTTCAAGCCTAACTTTAAACCCAATCAATTATCTAGGTTTATTGGCTGGGTTGGTTCATCTCGATACCTCTACCAATATTCCACAAATTAACCGTGTATATAGAGATTGATTGTTTAGCAGTCAACTTGGTTTAGCTTGGATAATAAGGGTTTAACATGGTGAAACTTGTCTTACTCGATGGGTTGGACAAGTTGATGATGTTGGGAGGGAAACAATACATTAGTTTCGTGATTGAGTTTAATTATTTATGCTTTAGTAACTCTTCCCTATTTCACTTGAGAAAATTAGTTCTCACTAGTTGAGTATTTGGTCATTTGATAAAATGATGAGATCATTGTTTTAATTTAACTGGTCATTTAGTTATAGGGCTTCATTAACTTAAACACTGATAAATAAATTTGAGAAAATTGGTTGTTACTAGCTAATATTTTGTCATTTGATGAAATAAAATAGTCGTTGTTATAAAAATAAAAAAGAAATAAAATAATCACTCCTTCAACTTAATTAGTTTCACTCATCTTCAATAATTCTCTGATCACTATAGTTTCGGTGACCAACTGTGGTGAGATTTGTATTTTTTTTTTTAAAAAGATGTCAATATGATCATTTCAAAAACAATATATGTCAGCAACGGACATAGGGATTTCAGGACATTTAGCCCAATCCATGGTCATTTTTTTTTATTATTTTCTTTTAGGTGAATTTTTCTAGGATAAATTGATCCATTAGCCCAAAAGAAAATCTTATGTCTAAAAAATATGGATTAAATTTTTAAAAATTTAAGAGTATAATGGGTTCATATTAATATACAAGGAGTTTATTGTTAAAAATTTAAAATTTTAAAAGTGATTTATCATTGATATATAATAATATATTATCAACAAATATAATAAACTAGCTATAATATAAAGTATGATAAATGTTGGGTTTTTTTTTAGTTTAATCTTATAACATGAGCCATATTTACAAAAACCTCCCTTATCATTTCAAGTCCATTTTAGTGGAACATCAGTTGGGCCAGGCTTGAAATACTCGGGCTTTTCCTACTAGCTATTGCAGGCCTTACTTGAAAGGGGTCCATGATCCAGACCCAATAAATCGAAAGAGTTAGGTCCATTGTCCATGATCCATTTTTCATCATTTCTACGTTTTCTGGGACCACTGTGACTATGTTTGGCATAAGTTTTCCATTCCATAAATTTATGTGCCCAAAACTTCACTTAGTTATATTGGCCGAAAAACAAAAGGAAGTTGTAACAGTATGTCCAGCGATAAATCTTAAGCGCACATAGTATACTAACTTTCCAGATTTAGTTAATGAAATTGAAAAATATGAGTACAGGGCCTAATGTGACAGGTGAAATATTTTTTGTTTAAATTCCATGATAGGAGTAACAGGGCATCTTTACGTGCATACAAACATATATGAATTATAAAAAAAAAATCAATTCGTTTAAAAAATAAAAGCGTTGAATATTTTGAAAAATGAATAAGATATTTTGACAAAAAAGATGCAGAAGCGTCGTATTACTACAAACACCTACGAGACAATTTTTCATGTTTGATCTCGAGGGTCCTATTTTGTCGTATTAATTGTTGACGATTAAGCACCATGTTCTAAAACCCTGTTAACTGAGTATTTGAACCTGAGCAACTGTGGCTAAAAAGACATGCAATGTTACACATGAAGTTGGAGAGAAAATTGAGCTGCATGAATTTTCTTTATCAACTCGGATCATCAAGAAAAAAGCTTAAATAGTATAAGAATTTTTAAGAAGTGAGCTATTTAATTTGTTTGATCAAAATGATATTTTCCTGTTATCAAATCATCATATGATAATCGATTAGCCTATGTAAAATTCCACCTAGAAATGTTTTTTTTTGTCCATGTTAGTGAAAAAATAGTTAATTTTTATTAAGCTAAAGTGTCAGTTAAACAGTTAATGTTTGAAATATTTGACGGATTGGTCATTGTTATACCTATTAAAGTAACGTTTTGGGTATTTGTGTTCTTTAATTTTCTCACTTTAAGTCATTAGATGTCCCTAATTGATGATTTTGTCAGTACTTTTGCTTCTTTTTTAATTTATGTCAATGAAAAAAATTGTTAATATCTGTTTAAGTGTCAGCTAAATAGTCAAAATTAAGAAATTTAATAAATTTGTCACTCTTACACTAATTTAGATAATGTTATAGGTATTTTTATCCTTTGTTTTTTTCACTTTGAGTTATTGGATGCTTTTGATTGACAATCTTGTGAGTATTTTAATTTTGCCTCTTTGTCCATTATTTTATCTCACAGTAGTGCTTTCTCTTTTCTTGTGTTATACAATATTATGTTGTTTCACCAATATTTCATTGTGTTAAACTAACCTTTTGTGCGATTGATGCATTGGTTGATGGAAAGAAGGTCTACTTAGAGGAACGTATATATAGCAGCGAATTTAACATCATATCTTGATAAAAAATCTTAAAACATTGAGCCTATCACTCTCTCTCTTACACACACACACACATCTTCATCTAAAGTATATTAAATAGAGGACTTGTTTCCAATGGTAATCCAGTTTAGAGGTTTGGAGATGAATGGAAGTGAGGGAGAAGGAAGGGAAGGATGAATGATTGAGTTTTGAGGGAGGGAACGTGGGGGCAGAGAGAGAGAGAGAGAGAGTGAGTGAGGGAACCAGAGAGAAGGGAATCAAAAGGAAGAAAGGAAGAGGGACGTCACTTATAAAAGCAAAAGCTGCAAACCAAACAAAACACACAAGCACGCCATTTTCATTCACGCCCAGTCCATGTCTCCTTCTTTGCTTGCTTGGATTTCCGAGCTCTCTCCCCTTCAACCCCACTTACCACCTCTTTACCTTACCACGTGTTTGGTACCACAACACAAATATAACCTCCTCATTTTCCCTTGAAAAATAATATATATATATATATATATATTTTACACTAAAAAAGTTTTGGTAAATTGAGTACGAGGGGCTCATCAAAATTGGGACATGTCTTACAAAGGTATTTACAAATCATGCACTAACAAAGTTCTCACATCAAAACTAAGATTTTAATCTATAATCTTGTGAGTTATGGTCTAAATTTTTATCAATTAGACTAATTTTTATTGGTTATATATGCTCATACAATAGTTGGTCCCCTAGTTTGAAAAAAAGATATTTTTTGAACCATGATGGCATAGCCTAACCTATGACAGCTCTATGCTTGGTTGGACTAGGTCATGTAGTAGAATCAGGGATATGAGTTGCTATATGTATTTTTTTAGTTTTATTTATAAGATAGAGAAACAGTATTTATTTTAATCCTATTTATAAGATATATTAATACCTTGTAAGAGATATTTGATTATTTTCTACTGTTGTTGGAACCAACTTTTTGTACTTACAAAAATATATACTTTTTGTTGGTTGGATTGAGATATAAAGCAAAAAATCCAAGACAAATAAAAATGGTTTTTTTAGAGTGGTAGAGGAAGATTAAAAAGAATATCATGAAAATTATTGAGCAAGACCTATTCTTGGTTAACTGACCATATCTAATGAAATAAAATTTGTTGTTATTGTTGTTGTTGGATCATTTAACATTTTAACTCATAAGTTAAACAAGTATAACTCATCTAATCTATAGGTTGATACATATAAACTTTTGATTCGTTAACAATTTACATTATTCGAACACAAAAGAATTAAGTTAAAGCATGTTATTATTGACTAGCGAAAAAAAAAGCATATTATTTTTATTAACAAAATTAAGATTATATTATACGTGTTAATATTTCCTTTTTCTTCTTCATATATATATATATATGATTGTGAATGGTAAGAATAAGGATGAAAGACAAGAGGTAGAACATGACTTACGTTAGGCGATTGCCTGGAATCCTTGAGGTTTCAGACTGCCAAAACCACAAAGCTCTGTTGATTTTTGAGACTTATCAACTATATATGAACATTTTCAAAATTATCCGCTCAACAATTGGATCAGAGAATTTCAAGATCTTTTATTGTGTGATTGGATTGTCACTTTTAACCAAGGTTTTAAAAATCGGACCGATCATTGAACCGGACGAGGCACTGATTCACGGTTCATTGGTCGAACCGTGGTCGAATCGGGGTCGAACCGATTGATATTAAATTAATAAATTTTTAATTTATGTATCATAATTAAATAAAAAATACATTTAAATATGCATTTTTTTCAAAAATATATTATAGATGCTTGATAATATAATTTTTAATTGATAAATACATAATTAATATTAATTATAACTGAAGTTTTTCATTTAAATATCAAGAAAGATGTAATTTAATTTTAATTCTAATTTATTTTTTTAATTTTTTTTCAGTTTTTTCATGAGAACCGATCCGGTTTTTGTCCGGTTTTACCAGTTTTTGACCGGTTTAATCGATTGTTGACCGGTTCTCTGTTGACCGGTTTTTAGGAGTCAACCGAACTAGACTAGGAGCCGGTTCCCGGTTCAACCGGTTGAACCAGCCGGTTCGGTTCGGTTTTTAAAACTCTGCTTTTAACCACATGTCTAGGAAATCAAATTGGTGTGCATGCTAATTGGCTCGCCGGCAACACGTTTTAGATACTGAAACTTTTTCTTTTGATACTTCAACTTACCTTTAGATTATTTTTGCTATGAACTTACGTCAACATCCGAGATTTTGCGATTAAGTGGCCGAGCATAACCCCTTTTACTAAGATCGATGCTTATTAATAGTTCGATCTATTTCCTATTTGACCAACAATTGGTATCATGCTATACCTTGGTGAAAGATAACAGTGTTTATTTTGGTGGAAAGATAACATCTTTTTATTATGATGCACATAGTTAGACTTAGAAATTTATCATCATCGTCATCATCATTATCATTACTAGATTTTGAACTCTGAGCGTGAGAGAGAGAGAGAGAGACTTAGTTTTAGAAAAGTATGGCAGAGAACAAATTATTTGCTAGTTTAGTTATATAATTAAGTTTTTTTGTGTGGATATATAGCCTTGTATATAACTAAAGTTACTACTTCTTTAATTAGCCCTGACTAAAATAGGTACTTATTAATTACTTATAAAACTAATACTAAGGAGGGCAAGATTTATATACTTTAACTTTATATGTTTAATATACTTTTATTTAATTAAATCAAGATATGTAAAGTTTAATGTGTTAATATTAGTATAATAACAAGAAATTGTTATAAAGTAAATAATTTATAAAAGATATATATATATATATATATATTTTGATTCAATTGAAAACAAGTATATTAGGTATATAAATTTTTTTCCCTACTAAGAAACGATTGTGTTTGTATGTGTGTGTACGGTACACATCAGTACACTCCACTATTAGTGGAGTAATTAATTGCGCAATGAACTTTGGCCTTCCTTAGGAGAAACCCTTTTTGATAGACAAAATTGGGATCATTTTTTCCCTTCACTGAACTTGTAACAACCGACCAACAAAAGCCTTCCTTCGCTGTTTTCGTTTTCATTTTATTATTTCAGTGCTTTATCCCCCCCCCCGGCCCTCTCTCTCTCTCTCTCTCTCTCACAGACACACACAGAGGAAGGGATAGAGAGATTCACTTTTTTGACTGTGTTTTAGCGACTGGAATAGCTTTATTCCATGGAAACAGGCAATCAGCAAGCTTTGGTAATTGCAAAAAAGCAAAATACAGAAACCGCAGATTCCATCTTCAAAACCCCACCATTTGAATTATCGTAACAATATCACATCACAATCATGCCTTATTGTAATCATTACTCAGTGTATACTACATCAGCTCACTCATACCTTATTGTAATCATTACTTAGTGTATACTACATCAGCTCACTCATACCTTATTGTAATTATTACTTAGTGTATACTACATCACAATAATACCTTATTGTAATCATTACGTAGTTTATACTATATCAGCTCACTCACATTGATGATTTCTATGTTCTTTTTCTTAGTTTATATATCCTATAATTTAATGAAAAGATCGGAAGATGATGATGATTCTGTTTCTCCTCCTTTTTGCCTTTTGCATTTTTAGTTATTTTCTTAAAATTATACGTGGTTTTTTTCACATATTGTTCAAAGATTAAAGAATATCTATGTGGTGTCTCTTAATACAACTTGTAAATATCATTGATTATTGATTTGTGTGAATCCATGGAAGAAGGATTTGAGAGCAATTTTGGCGTTTCTTTGAATTCCTATCTAGATAGCTATGAATGATCCCCGATTACACTCTTACCAGTTTCACCTATATTCATCAAAAAGTACAATTTCATTTCATTTGGTCAAATTTCCTTATAATTAGATAATCATTTTGGCCACCAAATTATATGGTACATATATATATTCGTATTACTCAAAAAAAAAAAGTGTCTTACCTTATCTCTGTGCAGTGAAGAAGATTCTCCTTTGAAATGGGTCCCAATGCAATATATAGTGCTTTATTTTCCTTGGAAGGGCAAAAGAGCCAATCTCATGTGTTAAAAAAGAAAAGTGAAAGAACAAAAGATAAAGAAATGTGACTTGTTATATCAAAATATGAGATCAAGTAAAGTCTTGGAATTTGAAGTTTCCAGTTTAGATGAATAGAGAAGTCAGCTAGGTGTGCTAGAGAGCTAGAAATTAAAATAGCTCATTAGAATTAAATCGCGACAAAACATATGCATGGGTAAGAAACGGATCATCTTTCATGAACATATATATAATATCCAACACAAGTTATTGACATATACACTCTTTGCGAACCCACTAAATATGGAAGTTTACTAGTTTTGCACTGACAAGGAAGAGTTAATATTGTGTTTGGCTAACAATATATAGAAGTTTATTCTTTTCAGAAATTGTGAGAACTCAGTGATCTATTCGTAACGTGTCACTAGAATTAATGTTAATTTATAAAAAGCTGTCTTATTATGTTGTCTCTCGAAATGAATATCTTTTCTACTGTGATATTTTGATGAAGAGAACTGAAATATGATTCTTTTTGTCAAATGGTAGAAAGAAGAAGGGTCAGAAAAAAAGTAACTAAAGTATACAAAGCATAACCCCATTAATTATATATGAAATTTGGTTTTATCATTAATTTGATATTTGTTCTTCTTTAATTTAACTTTTTTAATTGTTCACGGCTATTTTTTTTATTGAAGGTAATTCTGTTTAAAATATGATCAGATACTAAACATATGTAAGAGTTCAGTTTAAAGTTTACAGTTATATAAATAGAAAAAATTACCACTAGATATTCACACACCTGTGATCTGACTTAATTCAATCTTTAATTAATTGAAATCTGATGTAGTTCATAAATGAATTAGTATGCCTAAAGGAGGAAATGGAAAAAAGCGACATCATCTCTCGAAAGTGTTCTAGTGTAAAAAGTTGCACTCAATTTAGCTACAAAATATATATTATCTTAATATATATAACCTTCAAGTGATGAAAAACATCATAGAATCCAATACGCCGATTTCTGATCAGCATGTTAATACATGACCCAAAAAAAGAAGAAAGTGAAACCATTAATGAGAAACACTAATGGAGCAATATGTAACAATGGCTTCAAGAGTCACCTATCATGTCCTCGCCTGATGATCATAGAGTCTTCAGCTATTCTTCTCCCAAGTAAAGATCCAAAGGAGTAACATAAACTTAAATGCAATAAGTCAACACATACAACATATCAAAGGGCACTATATTGTAGAGTCTGAATATATAGACTTCGATATAATAATTTCTATTTGAAGAAGAGAAGGAAATGTTGAAAGATTTTGTAGTAGCTAGCAAGCATATACAGATCAAAGATTCAATAAAAATCACAGGAGATGGGTGGTGGAAGAAGAAGAAGCGAAACTAATAGAAACATTACTACTATTCCATGCACTTCCATTATTTGCTTCCCAGAATTGTTCATTGTTATTTTCTGATGAGTTACCCATAAAACTCTTTGATAATCCCACCACTTGATCCATGTTTTCCTCCAATTTAACTGTACTACTAAGTTGATGCTGATGATGATGATCGCTACCTATATTTCCAGAATATAATAATGTCCTTGGAGGTTCGATCTCAACATTTTCTGATCTTTCAAACTGATATAACCCTACTGGTGCTTCCAAATTAGTCAAGAATGTTGTTGCTGGAAACTGTTGATGATGCTGAAGACTTGGTAGCTTCCATTGCTCTGTAGTTATGAAGCTGTTGTTATTATAACCGCCAATTATACCACCTGAGATAATAGCAGAATTACAACCAATTTGAAATTCAGCATCTTTGATGTTTGATGAGTCAAAAACGACGTCGTAGTCATTGTAGCTTTGAGATGTTGTTATTGGAGGGAAGAGTAATGGAGATGGTAATAAGTGATGACCTATCAAGTGAGGATGATTACTATTAGGGCAACAGTTACTTGAGGAATTATTTGCACCTGCAGAGTTGGAAATAATGGAACCTGATGATGTGGCTGCTGTTTTGTTTGGAGATTTTGATGATCTACTGTTAGTTCCTTTGCTTCTCTTGTTCTTCCTTCTGCAACCACCTCCTACCGGGACGTTCCTCAACGCGCCACCTCGGGTCCAGTATCGCCGGCAAGTCTTGCAGAAGTGGCGAGGCTGAGAGAGGCTGTAATTGTTATAGTAACAGAACTTGGTGTTGGTTGATTCACATCGTGGACATTTCAGTGCTGCTTCTGGTTGTCCTATCTTCGCTAGCCTAGCTCGATCTGCCATGGATCCCGGTCTTGTTGAGCCTTTGTTGCCGCCACCATCACCGCTTCCAATGGCAGCAGCAATCGGTGGCGGCGACGCAGCCAGCGGTGGACCCGGAACATGGGAATTCTGGGTATGAATCACTCCTTGCTGCTGATGATCAAGTTGCTGATGGAAGTGTAAAAAAATAAAACAAAAAAGGTTGACAGAAAAAAGAAACTTAATTATGATTGATACTCCATATATATCTATGGTATATTCAAGATAGAAAACAAGATGAATAAAGGAAGGAATATATATATATATATATATATGAACATTTGTGGCATTAAGAAAGGTTTGATTAGCAGATTAAGATGAGAATGGAAAGAAGAAAGAAGTAAAATTAGAAATAATCACCTGGTGAGGCCAGTTGGGTGGTGGATCTAGATGATAGGGTGAAGGAAGGGAAGAGAAGACCATGGCTCTTAATTAGAGAGAGTATGAGTGGCTTTATGATTCTTCTTTTCTTCTTCTCTCTTTCTCTGTCTCTCTTTTGCAAAAGTTTTGATGAGTTCTTTGTTTGGAGGGTGTGTATGTGGGTGGAGGGATCACATCAACGCATGAGAGATGAAGAGAGAGAGAGAGAAGTTGCAGATAGAAATTGAAGAGAGAGGGGGGCATCAGGAGGAGGTGGAAAGATAAAGGAGTCTGTGGGTGGGGAAGAGAAAAGGGAAGGGCATGTTTGGATTCAAGTTTTATTTATACTCCTTTCAATCCCAATTATAGACTGTCTTCTAGAAAAAAAAAAATTTTTGGTCTTTAATATAAGGAGTTGGATGCGTTGTTACTTACGTTTTTCCACTATTAATTAACTGCAAGAAAAAATGCAATGTAGATATGAAAATTTTTATTTAAATTAGGTTAAAAGTTTATTCTATTTTCAGACAAAATTAATGATTTAATCATATTTCTTTGATTCCAATCATGATATAGTTAGAAGTGCCTATAGAAAGGAATGGAGTATTTTTATGTCCTATCTAATTAATCACCCTTTTCTTCTTTTTGGCTTTTTTTATTGAAATCTGTAGGATTGCAGGACGCCATCAACATTAGCCCTTGCAATATTAATTACGCATGGATGGATATTGATGTGTATACAAATTAAGTACTGCCTTCAAAATCACACTAGTCATTGAATTGGCAAAGTAATTAACTAGCTAGTGCAAGATTTCAGGCAAAAAAAATAGTTTTTAATTCAAATTCATTACTCTCATTATGCTCAAACAGTAACTAAATTGATCCTATAATTAAGCAACATGTGTGTTGGTGGGGGGAAAAAACCCAGCATGTGTTAGTGCTGATGGAAAAGGTTGTAGTCACGCATGAAGTTTTAGATTTGAATCTGGATGAATGTAGAAAATATATATGTTTGGGAGAATTTTCCAAAATTGAGTCCAACAATATTCAAATAATTTGACCAAATAGTCATTTCTGAAAAATATTGTAATTATGTTATATGTATTATGCACCAAAATCTAGTTTAATACTCCCTCGTCCTAATTTATATTACAACTTTTAGACAATATTATACCTACTAATAAAATTCATTAAATATAATTTAAAAATATATTTTTTTAAAAAATATATTTTTAAAAAATATAACCTTATATGTGAAACATTAATGGAGAGAGAGAGAGAGAGTTAGCATAAAAAAGAAAGGATAATATTGAAATAAATATAATTAATAAAATTTATTTTTAAGAAAATGTCTTGTATTTTAAAATATAAAATCACTTTTAAAAGTGTCTTATTATTATAAATTGAGATGGAAAGAGTAGTAGATTATTTGTTTCAAGTAGTCCAAATAACGATCTAATTTTGTGAGCAAATAACCATACATATAGAGATATATATATGTATATATATTCAACATTTAAATCTAACAGTCACTGTAATAATAATAAGCATTGAGGTATTCAAAAAGATAATGATATTTAAATGTTGAATATAAAATGGAAAAGGTGAAGAGTCATGGTGGGGGTGGTCTGGGGTGGAATTGTCACAATCGAATGTACCTTTGTTTCTCGACTGGTCGGTTCCTGCAAAAATAAACTCATTATTGTGTTCTATGACCATCTTCATTATTCATTAGAAATAGTAATATTAATGTTTTATGCTTACTTTATGCTTTTTTCCGTTCCATACTAAATTAATTATCCACTAATATATCATACTTAATATATACACCTTTTTTCTACTGTTAGGCACTTCAGTTCATCTAGATTATTGGCCGCAAATAATTTGGATATGGCATTCTATGATATAAAGTTACATATAGAATAATCAAAGCTTTAATTTGTGATTAATTAATTAATTAATTATGCATATTGTCTTTTGTCTCCCCTTTCCTCCTAGAATCATGCAGTGAATTTTCAAATCAAAGCATAATAGCTAGCTTGCATTACATACCATGGGAAGGATATAAATATAGATTCATATAATTTCATTCAATTTTAAATTTCTTGTCATTATAAAATTTATAATAAGATATTTATAGTATAAATAAATTTTAATTTTAATTATATTATTATATTTTTAATTATTTTATCACATATGTGTAATTTCATTTTATCATCATATTTTTACCACTTTTGTTGTTGTACTTTTATTGACATTACTATATTAATTCAAACTATTTTGCCGGCAAAAAATTCAAAATATTTATTGTAATATATTACTAGCAACAGTAGATGAATGAATATCGAGTCATAATTTAAAAACTAATCATAGATTATAAGTTAAAAATCTGATATATTATGAAGATTCATTTAAAATTTTTTAAGTTATTTAGAAATCAAACTAAATTTATATATATATATATATATATAAAACTAGAAACATTATTCTCCCCGTGTATTATACAATTTATTATAGTTAAAATTTCATTCGTGTTGAGAATAACTTATAATTACTTCCAACAAGTAACAAATGAAATTTAATTTATAGTGTAGATGTAAGATGTTATGGCTAATTCAAATGAGTCATGGTCTGCCAGATTATTGAAATTGAAACGATAGTGTGAAAGGAGAAAGTGATGGAGGGTTTCACTGACGCGAGACGTGAGAAGGAATTAAAAAAAACGTGCAAATTAAATGGCAATTAATTATCAGAAGGGAGAATCATGCAAGACAACCATATAAAGAAATCAATCATTTTAAAGCACCATAAATTTTTAAAATTACAGAGAAACACCAAAAGTTTAAAGAGAGATAGTAGATATTTTAAAATGACTATATATGATTGACACATATCTCAGTTGAAAACGGTAAAAGATGAGTTGTAAATCGTGGAAGTTTAGTTGCAATTACAGTGATTATGATTACTTATTTGCAACCGAGTTGAAAATCATGAAATTAAAGCCCGGTAGAAAATATTGGAAGCTTGGTTGTAAATAGAAAAAGATTAGTCTCAAATTATTTGTAGATTATAGAAGGTTTAGTAATCCTAAAATAAGTTCAATTTAAAACCCATTTATAAATAATTTTTCGTTATTTACAACTGAACCTCGAATACTTGCAACATGTATGTGATCGGCTTGCAAGATTTACAAAAGTTTTCAAAATTTTAAAACTCAGTTGCAACTAATATTCTTTTATTTGTGACTCATATTTTACCATTTGCAACTATGTATCAACTATATATATATATATATATATATAAAAGCCTTTTTGTCATTTACTTATTTTTTATTAAAAAAAAAACTTTGGTATCCTACTCTATAATTTTAAAAATTCAAGGGTCATTTATAATGATTAATTTCTTTTCATGGTCTTTAGGTGTCACTGTTCATCATGGGAACGATTCTTCAAGAACAGCCTTCTGCTAGCTGTCCGTGGGACGACAAATTTAAATTTAAAACTTATTTATTTTGCTTTCATGCATAGCTTCAACCTTAAGCTGGCTCTGTCTGGTGGGATCGGCTCGTCATTTCTCGTTACATTTTTAAATATTGTATTATAATCTTTGTCTTTGATTTCCCTCATTCTTTAAACTCGCAGTATATATTATTTTGTGAAGGTATAATTTATGAATAATGTTTAATATTCTTTCTATGGTTTATTATTCATGATGAGCTACATGACCAGTATGGCTTGTATTGATCTGAATACCTCTTTTTATTTTACTCTTCTCATTTTTTTTCCTTGCCTTTTCATTTTTTTTTTCAGTTCACAATATAAACATATATATATATATATATTGACTTTATATATTTGGTGGATAAAATCGGATAACGAAAAAGGATCAATATAAGATTTGTATATGTCCTTCAAAAAGATGTTATAAAGTAAGTCCTTAAAAAGTATTTATATACGCTTATATTCATTTGATGCATCATGTAATCAATTTTTTCATAATTGAATGTTTTCCAAAGAAAAATGTTAAGAATGTGACTTAGTGCTTTTTCAATAATACATTACGTTAATCTTCCATAGCAAAACTAAGAAACAAACGATTTTAAGATTTTTAAATGGTGAATATCTGGATTCTTGATTATTTTCATTCCAAATATTTTCTTTTAACCAATATTAGTGAAAAAAAAAACGTTATGATTTATGACTACTTTTCAGGAAAATAGTAAATTTTATCGTATATTAATTTCTTTTACGAACCATAAAATATCTATATATCCAGCATATATCCCAAATACTACACATACATGCTATTACGTTAATTTATTTTAACTCTGAAATTCCAGTAAACAACTTTTTTGGGAAAACATTCTTTAATGCACTATATATATATATATATATATATATCATTAAATGGTTTCTTATCATGTTTGGCTTGGATGATAATTCACTTATATTTGATCAAATCAATACCCAGAGATAAATTTAAATACTAGTGATGAGAACCTCAGGCTGAGAAATAAGTTCGATACAATGACAAAACATATTGAATCATATAGTTGCATAGTATTTTTAAAAATATTTCTCTCTACCTCAGGCTGAGAAATAAGTTCGATACAATGACAAAACATATTGAATCATATAGTTGCATAGTATTTTTAAAAATATTTCTCTCTAATCTAGTCCTCTCTCATTGGAAAAAGAAACACACGCACTCATACATGTCAAGCATGTAAATGTTAGGCTCAGAGTCAAGACCAGTGACGGATTCACTGGAAAGCTGGGGCCCACAATTTTTTTTGAACTGTTATATAATTTTGTATTTTGATTTCCATAAAATTGGTTCTGAATCCATCCCTGCTCAATACCTCTTTTAATAAAGAAAGGTAGTGTTATCCCTAGAATAACTGATCATTAACTATAGCTGCATAGTATTTAAGTGGTGGACGTGTGTGTGTATATATATATATATATATCCAAACTCAGAGATATCTCATATTATTATGTATTAAAATTTGATTGATACATATATTTTTTTAATGACTGAAATATCTGCATCTATCTCTGAGTGCTTTCATTTAATGTAGCCAGGATCAATGAGGAGAGAACGCATTTTTCATTCTGTCTCATTGAGTATTTAATTGAATTACAGTAATTCCTGCCGTTGCGTGTCAACTTTCTTCTTTTATGAAAAGGAAACATACCGCCCACTTGAGGTCCCTATATTTTAATGTATTTTGTTTCTAGCCTAAAACATTAATTCCTTTGTTTTGAAAATTACTCCTTCC